ATTGATGCCGGCAGATGGCACATTTACCTCAACGTGGGGAACAGGAGATGTTTACATGTTTAGTTTTGCAGGATTATTTTTTAGATTTATAGTGAAATATTTTGAGTAACATATAATTGAAACAAGAACCAACTCATCAGCTCGTGGAAACAATCATTAAAATATTATAAGTGCTGCAATTTAACCTTAGTGATCTTTCTTGCTTTTTCTTTTTCTTTTTTCTGCCATCAGTTCCAGTTGTTACAAGCAGCCTTACCAGACCAACATGTGAAGGATACAAAGGATTGAGATGTTCCCGTATGATTGCTTAATACTCAAGAGGGTCTGCCTGCCAGCGTTGTCATGGCTGTAAAAGTGTCAACTGTAACTGTGTTCAGACGGACACATTTTACTGTCTCACAATATTCACCCAAAACAGCCAATGTACCAACTGTTGATAGTGCTAAGCTATAGATACACTGAACTGTTTACTGAGTAAATTATACATGTAAATTCTTCAGCAATATCTGTAATCTTATATAAGTTGAACTGCATATGTGTTCAGTAAATAATATGTCTCTTCATGCAGTAGCTCTGTAAATGTTTTTCTCGAACCTTTAAGTGGAAAGAAAACATTGAAGAGACGACTAATACAGAAATTGTGCTGTGATTTTCTAACAGCCTCCGCTTTTCTCTAACTGCCCACTTTCTAGTGAGAGGAGAAGGAGGGCTGGCAAAGAAGGGTATAATTAGGGGGACTTTGGGGTCTGAGATCCATCCTGGGAGAGCTGGTGCAGATATCTCCCTCCTTCCACTTCCCACAATGCACTGCAGGCCCGGGGAGGGGGAGAGAGGTAGAGGATGCAATTAGCAGGTAACACGTTAGCAGAGAGGCTGATCTGTTTTAAGCCAATACAGAAGTCAGCTGCAAGCTCCATGTCAATGGGTAAGCGCCATATCGCTAGAGGGGTGTGTGCGTGCGTGTGTGAGTGGGTGTATTTTACCCGTCTTGCGGGGACACAAATCTGTGTACACAGTCACATTGTCGGGACTCGCCTTCCATATGGGGACAGTTTGGGGAGACCAGGTGGGGGAAATATATTGTACATTCAATTTCATTTTGTGTATGTCTCACACATACAGACACACAAACACACACTCACAAACACACCTCAAGGCATTTTTAACAGCCACTCCTGTTTCTATTTCATTTTCATCATTCTGCCTGTTCTCTGAAACCACCCGCCCTCCACCAGCTTAAAAAAAAGTGTTTATGAACAAAGTGTTTGACCCAATTGGCTGGCGTATGAAAACACCTGGGCGTTAGATTGAAATTGAATTGCTTCACTTAGTTAACCCACTTAAGGACCATGTTGAGTTTAGTCTGCTCAATTTGTTGAGATCAGCAGCTTTGTGCGTCGGGGATGTTGTAGGCTTGGATTATGGATAATTACTATCAATTAGTGGCTGATACTCTTGGCTTTGAAGCCGCAGCGAGCGAAATGGAGCAATGCCGGGGAATGAACTCGGCTGAATGGAATCATGTAGATAATGGCTGGAGTGATTGAGAGGAATTTTTCTCTGAGAAACAGGACATTGTGTCGCTCTGTTTTTGTTGCTGGCCTCATCACAAGGAAAGGCGCAATATGCCGTGTGCACCCATGGTGTCAATCAGAATCCCATTACTGCAGAGGTCATAGACACACTGCTCCAGGTAAGCTAAAGTCTCAACGGCCTCGCATTTCCACCAGGATGAAGAACAATAATACATTTGAGCCCAACAATATCTTCTGTCTCCCACATTTCAAGGAGAACTTTAAACTCTTGTCAGATATCAGAATGTTTGCTACCTTCCCCCAGACAAAATGGAATCAAAACTTTTTTTTTCCCCTCTAATTTTTTTTTCTTTTGCCAGTCTAGCAAATTCAGCTCATTGCCTCATGGGTAATTTTATGAATACATATCAGGACCTTTAGCTCACAGGCGGTGGCGGGCTCTCTCAATAATGCCTCAAGCAATATCACTTTGAGAGCACCACACAAAAACAAAGATGCCTGAGCTCCATGAATATTTATTAACGGGAGATACTGGAGTTAACAGTGACAGACTAATAGGTGGATGGAGAAGAGAATGATACAAAGGCTGATGGCAAGTCAGGAGGAGACCACCCACAAAGCTTTCAAAGTGAAGCGGGCCCAACATGAAATGAAGACACAACACGATGCACAGGGAACCCCGGAGGAAATTTGCTATTAAAATGCTGTTAAATACACGTTTACTTGGCTCCTGCTCTGAAGCTGTAGTTGCTGGTGCAGCAGTAAGGGAGTGTCCCCCCAGTGTCCACATTCAGGAGCCACTGCTGATTGGCAGCAAAACAACACTGGTGGATATGAGACCCTAAGGGCCTCTCTGGCGGTCTCCATCATTATGCCGCCGGCGCTATCATTTCTGGATACTGATTAAAATGTTGCCGATGTTAAAAGAAGCTGAAGGTTAAACCACAAAGGGCTCCGTGTGAAGTCGTTTCTCACCACATCCTCCCACTACTCTCTCTCTCGCTCTTTATCTTACACACACACACACACACACACGCACAGTAAAAAGGCAGACTTTTTATAACACAGAAAGAAAGAAAGCTCTTTGAACAGGGACTCCATTCTGATCTTAGCTTGATTTTTAGCCACTAATGGACACAGACTCAACTCCAGCCACTTTTTCTCAATCAATTCCACTACTGTACGTCTCAGTGTCGACTATTACTATGAAAACTGCTGAAGATTTAGTCCTGTGTACAAGAGGATGTCACAGTTGAGCTCCTCAAAGTGGATTCCTTGAGAGACTCCAATGAAAACGAGTTTCCGCTCATATGTACTCATACTCGCATATTTAAAAGAACTTTAACCTGCTGCCCATCTTGACCAGGACTTCCTGGCAGAAGACATAGTGTATCTCAAAGGGACTTTTCTGGTTAAATAAAGGTTTGAAAAAAATATTTGAAATACAAAGGGCTGTCCAAATTGCATTTTGTTAGGCAGAAACACTACAGTAGTGAGTGTGAGCCGTATTACTGTTCACATCCTGTAGCTACAGCCTGGAAATGACATGAGCAGCATGAGATATGAAGTGATGATTAAAAATGTATCTGGCAGGATGAAAAAGCAGGTGTAGCCTACTTACTTTTGCATACCTTATGTTTCATAAGCTACTTCCTCCATATACGGCATGCCCCAAATCAGAGCAAATGCGCTGATTAGCATGAAAAAAAACGATATTCCAAAAAGCACACAAAGTGCACTCATGATCATAGTGATTTTAAAGAGCGATGTCTCTTTTACATTTCGTCAACCTGGAACAGGATCTAAAACGCAACCAGGTGTCAGACTCTACACAACAATGACCTTAAAATCAGTAGTACTAATATCATTTTACTGTAATGGTAAGACAAAGATCTACCATATGTATTCCTGTTAAATTCTAGCAACCATTGCTGCCAGTGTTTTTACCATAAAAACATGTTTTTTTATTTGGTCTGCCTCTCAGCATTTTATCTTAAAATAAACAAAGCTACTGCTGCATAATTTTAGGATGACTCATGCGTGGCAGAAGTCAGATTGCCAGTTTTTGTTGTGAGTTGCAGCAAGTGTTGGCATTGGCACTGTATCGTCACTCATGGTGCACTTTGGGTTATCTTTGAGAATTAAGCATCTTTGTCTTGATGTTTTGGGAGCGCATTGGAACACATTTCAGCGTCAGATGTCAAGCAGTCAGAGAGTCCAGTCAGGTTCTTGTCTCAACTCTCTAGTAGTAGGACACCAGCACGATCACAGAGTACCTGAACATCTAGACATTTTGATCTTTTTTTTCTAGAAAAGGGAACATTTAATCATTCATGTACTGATGATTATTATTCTATTGACTAATATCTTGAAATGCATTATGACAAAACTTCATCTCAATGTTATTTTACATAACAAAAGTACTTATTTTAACCTATAACACAACTTTTTCCTAATTCTAACCACGCAGTTTCATAGCCCAAGTAAACCTAAAAACTAAGTTTATTAGTTTAAGTTTATTTTGAAAAGAGACTGTTTGCATGCAACACAGAGAAACTGACGTTAGAGGAGCACCTAGAGCGTCATAGTTTGAACCATAGGGCTGCTGACCATGTGTCGGTATTTGATGAGTTGGTACTGAGAATGTGTACAAAAAGAGGTCTTACAATTCTCCATATTCCTCTGAGTACTTTATGCTGCATGAGGATCATAAATTAATTGAACAGATAGATATCCCCTCGATGCACATCTAGCCACAGCAGAAAATGAATTTGCTGAGTTTCTTGTTAAATGAAGGTTCTGGTGAGCAGGATGTGAGGGAGGATTTAGTGCACCTTAAGGGAGTCCCTCTTTCCATACTGAAAGTATGCTTCTGAGATCTCATCTCATATTAATTTGTCACAGCAAACGTAGCCGTGCTGTTGCTCCATTGCGCCCTCTGGCTAACTCTGAGCTATTCCATCGCCTCGCAGGGCTAAAAGCCTGAGTGCCTTCCTTCTCCCAGCGCTTGTTCCACAATTTAACTTGGCTTGTTTTCCTCAGCCTCCCTCTCGCACCTCTTTGTCCCTCTCTCCCTCCTGATCTTCCCCCGCCCATCGACTGTGACCTTACTGCAATTATGCATCCTCCAGTGGGACAATTAAAACTGAACTACCTTCCCGAGTGTGGGGGGAGGGGGAAGGGGGGGTAAGACAAGGGAGGAAATAATGATGCCAGATTTGTTCGTGCAACCGCCTGTCTCCCTTGAACCGGCTCCTCTTGAAGTTGAAGAAGCAACTGTTTCAGCCGCTCTGACTGTGTTCCAATGCCACCGCTAGTCAAGGACACGCTGCCCTTCAGCCGCATTGTCCAACAAAATAATTCATTCAGAGCCAGAAAATTCACTCATGTTGACGCAGTTGTCCTCTTTCAACACCCCCATCCCGCTCCCCCTCCCCCCCAACCACCCGTCTCCCTCTTTGACAGGTGCAAGTGCAACCTTCACGCCAACAGCTGTGTATATGACAAAGAGAAGTTGAGCTGCGAGTGTGAACACAACTCCACTGGACCTGACTGTGGCCGCTGTAAGAAGAGTTACCAGGGGCGAGCGTGGAGTGCTGGCTCCTACCTGCCCATTCCCAAGGGCACAGCTAATATCTGTGAGTACACACACACACACACACAAACTCACCAAACACAAGCTGAGTAATTAAAAGGATGGATCAGCAGGTGTTAGTCTAGGTCTTACAAGCGCAAACCTTTGGAGAGTTCCCATGAAAATTTTAAATCAAAATAGCAAAGGTAAAGTGATAATAGTTAAAAACCCAATTACCAGCATCCTGTGTGTCACATATGCGAGTTCTGGCGACCACCACGTTAATAGTGAGATGTTGAGTTGTGAGCTTCCAAAGCAATGTGAAGCAATTAACAATGTTTTAATGAGAAGCAAAGCCAGTGGGGAGACTTTATCAAGTCCTGTGGAAACAAATGTGTCCATCCTGTTCACGCAGTGGACAGCGTGAACAGGGTGTTCTTCTCTGTTCTGTAGTCCTATGTTGCGATTATAGCCTTATAAAACGGGGGTGTTTTGACATGCAAATCCTCTCAATATTAGCTGGAATTCAATTTGCAAAATTGTGTCAAATAATGTTGAATATGGGCAACCTGCATTAGCAAAGAGAGCAGAGTCGGCGCGTCATACTGTAAGTCGCTGAGAGTGAAAGTGCACACTTACAACAACAGCACAGATGCTAAATATATCAAAACTACACTCTGAATTACAGTGTCTAAAACTATTGCTAATACAAGGGAAAGCCCTGCCCCATATTAGCAACTAAATATGCACAAAAACTGCAAATGTATTAGTAATGCATTTTGCAGTGTGCTGTAGGTGCAGTGGGTTTATTGCAGCTGTGAGACACTGAGTCCTCCTACCTGACCTGCACATCAATACAAATGTAAGAAAAGGCAGCCCAGAGGCAGCAGCAGCAGATAACCTGTGTCTGACTTCACTCATCGTTACCGTCTTCCTATCCTTTACAAAACACCCACGACATCAAGGCAGTGCTTTGACTGAAAGGACCATGCACTCTCTCTCCTCTGTATGTACAAACGGGGTGTGGGGGTCATGGTTCAGTTCAGTACAGTTCACTCTATCTTTCAATTACAACTTTGATTTATCTGTATTTAAGGGAAAGTGAACCGCAGACACAAAGACATAAGCATTGCGTTGATGAGTAGGAGGTATTATGATATTATGATAAACAAAGCAATGATATGATTATATATAATTTGTAGTGTTAGTGATTTCCTTCTATTCTCCTGACTCAATCTGTACTGCAATCCTGAAGGTTTGTGGTTGGAGAAACTGTGATATTACAGACATGCCGCAGCATGTAAACTGTGAGGGACATGGCGGTGCAAATATGTTACACTTTTTCCTTTTTCTTATTCTCCTACCTTTTAATGCCTCCGCGACGGAGAGAGCTGTGACCGGAGGCATTATGTTTTTGGGTTGTCCGTCCGTACGTCTCATTGTTCTTCAGTGGTACATGCAAGTGATAAACCTGTATTAGTATTTATTTTGGGTCCACAGAATATGTTCCATTTTTGTCTGCTGATGTCTGGCAGCGTGGAACCCTTATGTGGCAATAGAGGAGCGTTTATGCTCTGTGTTTACACTCACTCATGAACATTTGGCTTTCATCAAGTTGAAACGAGCAATTTATGACAACTGTGTGCAGTTAAGATGGGGTGCTGAATTTGACTCGTAGAAATCCTGAGTATGAGCAAACTTCATAGAAAGAAGTTAGATATAACAAAATTAGACTTACATAAGGCCCTTCCTTCTTAATTTCGGGCTTTACAGGTAAACTTGCTTTGACTAGAGGAAGGAATGAAATGCTTTTGACAAGCCATGCAACATTTGGCATCTATTATATTCTCCTTTTCCTCTTTTTTTGTCACAAGGTTCTCGCTCTCCAACACACACCCAAAGTCTTGCTGTTCATTATTTATTTGGATCCCCAGTAGAAAAAAGCAACAGCTGCTCTTCCTGGGGTATGAACAAAACAAGGACACCGTGTCACACAGGGCTCCCTACATACGGTAGTTTAGTGGCACTGAAGTGAGCCGAGAATGATGTCGCTCTCCTTCTGTTTGTGTTATAATCTGAGCTTCTCCCTGCTTTGTTGACATTGCCGGGCCTCTCAATGTAGTGCATGTTAGTGCATGTGAGTGTGCCCCACATGCTAGTTCATGGCCGCCGCCCTGCACTGATCTCATATGCCGGTTACAGCAGATAACGCCGTCCCGACTGACGGCCTCGTCGTAGCACCCAACTTTCATTTACCCCTCAGGTAAACACTGTTACTGTTAGCGCTGTTAGCACCGTTAGCAGAAAATAGATAAGCTCTTAATTTCAAATTTATCAGGCTTTAGGTTACGTAACAAACATATCTATTTCAACCGGAGCCGAAGCCTGACAAGTAGTTTTGTTACCTAAACCTTTGCGAGGCCAAGGTGTACCCAGTGACACCGAGGGGTCGTGAGTCCTGGGTATGAGCAGCAGCAGTGGGGAGGAGAGTAGCAGTGCTATAAGTTCAAATGTGCTGGCATTCGTTCGAAAGCCCAAGTTTTATCCTGCCCAGTCCCTTTATTGCATCCGCTGTGATTTCTGCCTTTCTCTGTGGTGCTCGAGGACTCTTGGCCTTGACTTATTCTCCCTCCCAGAGGATCCGCGTTTATGAGACTTAGGAAGGGTTAGTGAAATGGCCATTCCCAGAGCCCAGATTGACAGCACATTATTAAAAAAGGTGACACACACACACACACACACACACACACACACACACACAGGTGCTCATCCAGACCTCCACTCCTCAAAGCATTCACACACACACATTCAGAACTACTGCACAGGGACACACACCCATACTCCCTTTGCCCTGCGAGTGATGAAAAACAGTCTTAGTATAAAGTGCATTATTATACTTTGTCTTGGAGGGGAACAAATCCATAATGTAATAACGCTGTGAAAATCTATAAGAATGCAATGCGATCCCCCCTGAATAGAAAAGAATGCACAAGGCTGACAGAAAAATGCACTTTGTGCTGTTTTGTAATTTTCAAGTCCATTCAACTCTAATTCTGAAAGTGTCCTTCCCTCTCAATGTTTCCCCCCAAACCCAGTGAGCATATGGCAGCTCTTTGGAGACAAATTTGTCAAAGATGAAAATTTAATTAAGATTTAATTTCTTTTTACTATGCCCATCAAGACGTCTGATGCGATAAGGAGATCGATGAATCATCATCCGGAGGGGGTGTGGAGTTAGGGAGAGGAGGGGGGGGGGTGTATTTGGTCTGAGAATGGCACGAGGAAGAAGAAGAACAGGGTTTAAAAAGTGATGAAGAGAGAAAAGGATGGTGGAGATAGAAGGAGGGGAGGTGGGCATCACTCTCTGTCACAGCTAACTCAGCCTTCTGGGGTGGCTCTGTCTCTCTCGTTTTCCCTCTCTCCATCTATGTCTCTCGCCCCCCACCCGTCTCTCAGTCCTCGCTTTCCCCCTCTGTGGAGACAGAGGGAGAGGGATCAGTTTGAGAATTAACCATGACAGTTCATTTCACTGTAGGGCTGAAGACACGAGGAAGATAGAAGCCAGCGGTAGAGGAGGGGGGGGGGGGGGGGGGGCAGTAACGGGTGGCCTTTGAAAAGTTGATTTCAAATAGTAAAAATGTATCCTGAATATCATATTGAAGGGAAAAATCTTTAAATGCCCTTTAATCTGGATTTTGAATTGTAGCCTACTTGTTTGCAACCTGTATGTGTGTGTAGTATGTTGAAAGAAGAGATTAGCTTAGTTTAAGTGCAGAATGTCCATAAGATCAGCAGGAAGTCTACTTTAAATTAAGGTTTCAAGTAGCTTCAACTCCAACAAGTGCATACAGACACACACACACACACACAGACAGAACGTGTGCACTAATGGCCACTGAACAGAACAGATACTGGAAAGCAATGATGTTGCATGCGTGTTCCTAGACTGCAACTTACTCTCTCCCCGCAGGATTACATGAGATATGTAGGCAGAGAGGGTCGGTTGAGGTTAGACATTGACCTCAAGGAGTTAGAGTCACGATACCTCAGCAAGCATCGACGCCTGGCCAATCCTGTCGCTTGAATGCGATGCAGGGGCGGGTCTTGCCAAGAAAAAGCATTTGGATTCATAATAACGCATGCTGTGGTGATGGTTGGGCTGTAAGAGCAGGTAGCATCAATACTGAAGCAGGCTCAGCAGCAGCAGCATTAACAAGACAGAGGGAGAGATGGGAGATTTTGCGGCTTAGATAGACCGCCAAAGTGGGAGGGTGTTGTTGGTATATGCTATGAGGCTTGTCAGGTAGCATTTTTGTAGCAGTGAAGCTTGAATTGACCTGACCTACCTTGCATTGCTCCATTAAGAAAAGGTCACATGTTGGTTCTATCCACTAAAATACCCAATCAGTTCTTCTTCAGCTCATAGTCTAACTAATGGTATTGAAACATCTCATGTAGTTATTAGATATCCTGCAAATTAACAAATACATGGTACTTTAAAGAGAGGTCCTTGGAGGTAATAAAGCAGAAGACTCTAATGCTGCGTTTGGAATACGTATAAAATATAAAAGAGCACCTTTATGTTCTCTTGCCTATAGCATTAACATGGCACCACCACACTGTGCTAAATCTGTCTAAAGCTCACAAATGTACACGTCATTTCTTGCCTGTGTTATAAGGACAAGTTGTGTTATCTAAAGGAAGATGACCAAGAGTCTTGTCTTTACTAAGGTTATCAGGCTTACCAGACAAGCAAGTCACTGCTTCAGTCTCTTGGCTAAACTAAGACAATTGTCTCCTGGCTGTTATATTTAATGTTATACTTAATATTTAGCTTGCTCACACAAGAACGGTATCAAACTTCTCATCTCAACACTCGGCAACAAAACGAATAAATGTATTTTCCAAACTGTGAACAAATTCCTTCAAAGGAAAAGAGTTTGGTCTCCTCTGAAATCATCAGCAGGCTAATCCAGAAACAGGGGGCTCCATAATTCAAAACTGCTCGAGCAGTTTTACATGACTTGCTGATTTCTAATGAGAACTTTAATTTGCCGAATGCAC